ATAAAGTGTAATTAATAAAAAATTAAAAAAAAAAGCCCACACCATTCCCAGTTAATTCCCTCTGTACCTCACGGTTGCTGAGGTAAGTTCTTAGATATTGCTCCAACATCACATCTGCCTGCCTCCATGCCCTCCGCCCCCACCACTGCCATGGTGACCATGTATAACCCTGTCAAACCCTGTCAAGCCCTCCTCCCCCAACAAACTCTTTCTCCTATAAGTGGTCTTGGTGTCTCTTCACAGCAATAGAAAAGTAACTAAGACACTCAATATGGAACAAGAAAAACTTTCTTTGTTGCCTGTGTTTCTCTCATAAGACTGGGCTTGTTTAAACAGCAACATAGACATTTATTCTTGAATCCTTCCTCCCATTAGTCAACTTTCTCAAATATGACCTTAATGGAGAGTACCCAAGAACATAAACCTTCATGGGATCCTTCATTAACCAAAAAGAACAAAAATCTATAACTGTGTTGTTATATACATATATATTATATATAGAGAGAGTATACAAATACATACATTGCTGGAGAGATGGCTCAGTGGTTAAGAGCACTGGCTGCTCTTCCAGAGGACACAGTTTGATTCCCAGCTCCCACAGGGCAGCTCACAACTGTCTGTAACTCCAGTTCCAGGTAACATGATGCCCTCTTCTGGCCTCTGTGGGTAATGCACACACATGATGCACAGCTCTATGGGCAGGAAAATTACTCATACCACTAAAATTAAAATTAAAAAAGAAAGAAATTTTATATTTAGGGGCCAAGGAGATGGTTCAGTGGTTAGAGTACTTAATATTGTTGCAGAGAACCCAGGTTCACTTTTCATCACTCATGCTACGCTACTCACAACGGCCTGTAACTCTAGTTTTAGGGGCTCTGGTGCCCTCTGGCCTCTGTGGCCATCTGCACACACGTGGTGCATATAAACTCATGTAGGCATACATACGTACACATCAACAAGAAATGAAATGAAAAGAAATATAATATGAATATAAATATACGGGCTATACTTACTTCATTCTTTGAATTTTAAAAGAAACTAAGTTAAAACACCTTCATGCATTCCCAAAGATCTCATGGGCCCAGACACTGCCTACTACGCCTAACAGGCACATCAGCCCTGCTTGTTATAAAGCCTTTTCAGGGACACTTGCTTTGCACATCCAAAGTATGTGCTCCTTAACTTTCTTTTTTTTATATATATTTTTTAAACTTTATTTTATGTACATTGATGTGAAGGTGTCAGATCTATTGGAATGGGCATTACAGACAGTTGTGAGCCGCATGTGGGTGCTGGGAATTGAACCCGAGTCCTTTGGAGGAGCAGACAGTGCTCTTAACCACTGAGCCATCTTTCCAGCCCTGTTCCTTAACTTTCTTAATGCTGTCTTTCAAATCTTTCATGCCATAAACATGTGACAATTACTTCTCTGAATGTTTTTAACTTCATATTTTTAAAGTTAAAGGTAACAGTTCTTTTTTAAATTATACTAATTAATCTACTAATCTATTTCTTTATTATTTATTACTTATGTGTGGGTGCATGTGAGGGTCAAACTATACATGTGGAAATCAGAGGACAACCATATGGATCCTGGGAGCCAAATTCCAGCCATAAGGCTAGTGCAAGTAAACACTGTCTTCTATAAGTCACCTTGGCCAAAACACATTATCACAGCTTTAGAAGCCCTAACTGAGCCATCTCAGCAGCCCAACAACTCTTTTTTTTAAAGTTATAAATAATTATTAATGTGTGCACGTGCGTTTATGTGCAAGGGTGGTCTGGGTGTGGCCATCATAAAACAACTGTATGGGGCTGGAGAGATGACTCAGTGGTTAAGAGCACTGTCTGCTCTTCCAAAGGTCATGAGTTCAATTCCCAGCAACCACATGGTAGCTCACAACCATCTATAATGTGAACTGATTCTCTCTTCTGGCAGGTGTAAATGTAGATAGAACACTTATATACGTAAAATAAATAAATAAATCTTTAAAAAAATAATTAAAAAAAATAAAAAAATAAAACAACTGTATGGAATCAGTTCTCTCCTTCTACCTCTCTGTGAGTTCCGGGTGTTGAACCTGGGTCACCAGGCTTGAGCAGCAGGGATCTTTACCTACAGAGCCATCTCAACAGAGCAGAGGTAAAGATTCTTATATGGGATCTTGGAAATTCTGATACCTCTAGATCCCCATGTCATAGTAGAGAAAATGACAAGCATATTATGGAGCTAAATGGAGACATAAAAGCTTTATTGTGTTTTAAAGCACGAACCATGTTTCAAAGGTTGAATATCAACATATCCTTGATTTAAAAATATTAATGTTAAAATGAAAATAAAAGGGGCTGGAGAGATGGCTCAGTAGTTAGCAACACTTGTTATTCTTGGATAGAACCTAAGTTTTGGTCCCAGGACTCATAGGGGGCTCAAAACCATCCATAACTCAAATTTCAGAGGGTCCAATGCCCTCTTCTGGCCTCCATGGGCACTGTCTATATATGTATTTACACATATGTGATGTATTTTGCAGGCAAAACAATCATACACATAAAGTAAAATAAATACATCTTTAAAAAGAAATAAAAAATTAACTACATAGACTACCATATTTAGAACTATGTTAGTTAAGAGGATGATAACGGCAAATGAGGAGACATGGCCCTTCCTGATTATGATAGAAGGAATGAGATATTCCCCATAAAGTCTCAGGCATTTGAATACTGACTTGATCCCCAGTTGGTGGCTGTGAGGGGAAGATTAGGAGATGTGGCCTTGCTGGAGAGAGTGTGTCACTAGGGGCTGGCTTTGAGGTTTCAAAAGACTGGTGCTGCCTTGAGTTAGCTCTCTGCTTCCTGTTTGTGATTTGAAATGTAAGGTCTCGGCTGCTGCTCCAGCTGCCTGCCTCCTGCCTCCTGCAATATGTCACCATGGACTACTATCCCTGTAGAACCCCAAATAAACCCTGTCTTCTGTAAGTCATCTTGGCCATGATGCTTTCTCACAGCTTTCGAAGCCCTAGCTATACGCTAATCATCACTGACTGGCCTTCTTAGAAGCATCGTCACTGTTAACTTGGTGCCATCTTCCTAACAACTAAATGAACCCTCTCCTCCTACATTAGTGTGCTTAACACAGCTTCTTAGAGGGGCAAGGAGTGCTCGCTCTTCGCCCCTCTAAGAAGACCTTTATATAAGAGTGAACGCCAAGCTGTCTTAATATGACTGAAGAGAAAAAGAAGAAAGATCCTGTAGCAGAAAGCCACCTGTGGTGCTCTTGTTTTAAACTCTACTCTATTTGGGGTGTTTAGGCCTCTACATCCCTTTCACACACCCCCAATCTTAAGTAGTAGAGAGAAAAGGTTAGTGGGGAGAGGGGGCCCAGACCCCTTTACTTCTCCTGGCTAGTTAGGGTCAAGGGGTTCTTTTAGGGCTCTATACTAACCTACATCAACTGCAGACGCAGCTAGTAGGCTTCTCCACACCGCTACACCCTGAAGCGGCTCTCTCTGTCTGTCGGCTCCAAACCACCACACCATCTCTGGTCTCTGGTCTCTCCAAACTGCTACACCCCACACACCAACACCGAACTCCACTAAACACCTCCCAGTCTGTTGCTCGGTCTCATGTTTATACTCTCAGAGTGTTAGACCACGCCCCTCTCTGTGCCTCCTGTGGAAGGCCATTATTAGCTAGCAAAGGTCACACCTCATGGGTCACAATTAACACGTATGGACTAACTATAGCCCAACTAAAATCCCACACTTGGGATTAAAACAAAAGCATTTTTACATAACATACAAAGAACCCAAATCTTCCATTATAAGATCCCTCCTTCCCAAGTGGTTTGGGGTTCACGGTTGCAGAGGGTGACCTGGCATGACAGCAGGCAGGCGGCTGAGAACTTACATCCTGATCTGTATGTAGGAGAGCTAACTGAGAATAGCATGGGCTTTTGAAACCTCCAAGTTCACCCCCAATAACACTCATCCTCCAACAAGACCACACCTGCTAATCCTTCCCAAACAGTTCCACCACCATATCCAAACACAGAGTCTATGAGGACAGTTATCATTCAAACCACCATACTTTATCACAAATTGTACCTCTGAGGTTAAAGTGAGAGGTGCCATCAATCACTTGGTTTTAAAACCCAAATGCTATTTTACAATTGTATTATATTATGTCCGGTATAGAAGAAGGGAAACATATGCCATTCACTCTAACTTACAAGTCGGCAAACTTCTCTTAAATAAGTTAGTGTTTCAGGCTTTGTACTTTGTAGACCCTCTGTTCTATTTCTTCTTGTTCTTCCAGCTTCCACCTAATAAGAGGTAGCGGGAAGCTCTTGCAGAGCACTCCCATTCAGTTCCCAGCACCACTATGACCTGCAACTCCAGTTGCAGGGGATCTGATGCCCAATTCTGGCCCCCAGGACAACCCACAGGCATGCATACAGACATATATTTACTGGCAAATGAATAACAAAATAGGTCTTAAAGCACAATTATGTAAAACGTTTCTTTTCTCAGTGGCCACACAGAAACAGGGGCCAATTTATCCTGAGTAAGCCATGGCCTGTGAAACTTTAAACGAGACAGTAAATCTGAAGTAGTAACAGAGAATTTGTAAAATTGATTCATAAAATAATGAAAACACAAGGAGCAAAATTTAAATATTCATGCTTCATTCAATACGCCATTTTGTATCTATGAAAATTCTCTGCTTAGGGCTGGAGAGATGGTTCAGTGGCTCAGAGCACTTAGTGCTCTTGCCAAGGACCTGAGTTCTGCTCCCTAAACCCATGTCAGGCAGCTCACAACCACCAGTAACCACAATTCCAGGGCACAGAATGCCTCTGGCTCTGGTGAGCGCTTATACTCACACACAAATCCCTGCATGTCTGTGCGTGTACACACACACACACACACACACACACACACAGAATCTAAAGTAATAAAATTATATATTTAAAAAAAAGGGAAAAATATCTGCTTTACCTGAAATTCATCAAAACATAGGAGACAAGCTTCCTGGCTGATTTCTTCAGCGATGGGTGCTATCGGGTCATACGACTTTGCCATGAATCCTGCCTTCCTTTTTGGCAAACTCAGTTTAAGGCGATGTATCCCTTAAATGTATAAAATAAAACAGACACGATATTATATAATAGAAAAATTGAAGGAATTAGAACATACTTTTAATCTCTAAAGGTAAGTCAATTTGTACATAAAATTAAGTTTAAATTTACACGCAACAGAGTTCAATCATTTTGCATTTTGCATTTTCTCTACTTCAAAACAAGTTACCTAAATATCACAGTTTTACAACTGTAAGGAAAATTCAAGGCTGTTCTATTTCATTGTTGAATCACTTTGTGGACAGCAATGACAGGTGGCTAGATGCATCAGCAAGCTGAGTGGTCCTGAGGGCGTAAGTGATGACAGTAGAGGTGGGAAAGTGGCTGGAAACTATGTATCTTGTCCAGCCTATCTAATCAGAATGTTCTCTTGTCTCCAACCCAAAACACTCAAACCATTCTTGATCATCTTCAGGACTGGCTGCAAAGTCCTCCTCTGTGGCCTAGCAGGACTACTCCTCCCTTGGGAGGTGGGGAGGTCAAAGAGCCTGCCATTGAGTTCCTGTCAGAAGTAGTCCCTGTTCCCCTTACGATGGAAAACCAATTGGTTATTGAGCTACCACAAGCTTCATCTGAGCAAACAAACCATTCTTGATAATTCACCATATTTACTATAAACACCAAAAGTATTTGGGGGAGGGAGCAATGTTCCTGTTCTAGGAAGATATAGCTGATAGGCAAACCTAAAATGAAATAATCTATAAACATCAAGAGATAGGCAAGATGGTGCAAATGGGAATCCCACCAGTGGGAGGCGATGCATACGATCAGAGATTATATCCAGCTGTTTGAAAAATAAATAAATAAATAAATAAATAAACAAACAAACAAGAAGCCTGGTGTGGCACACGCCTTTTATCCTAGTACTCTATGAGACAGAAGCAGGCAGATCTCTGAGTTCAAGGACAGCCTAGTGTACAGATCAGGTTTCAGAACAGCCAGGGCAACAAAAGAAAACCTCATCTGAAACAAAGCAATAGAATGGAATGGAATGGCATGGAATGGCATGGCATGGCATGGCATGGCATGGCATGGCATGGCATGGCATGGCAAAGAAATTTTTTTTAAAAACCTTAGAAGGACAGACAGACAGAAAGACCTCTTAGCAGAGCTATAAGATCTACATGCAGATACAAACTGGTGCCTCCAAGACAAGTGACAAGGTTAGGAATCTAATCAAAAGAATCGTCCTGAAACAGTTGTGTCTTCACCATTTTCACCAAGCCTAACCTCTGTGCTCCAGTTGCGGAGCACTGAATCAGTCTTAAGAACTAACCCCAGATGCATCCCTTCTTCCATATGCCACAAAACAAAAGATACCAAAGAAAATCTCATATCAAGCCAAGGCCTGATTTTTTTTTTAAGTGTATATGCTCACTCACTGAAAAGGAAAATTATTCTGTAGTTACCACAATGCCCGCCACTTGGAGCCACCAACTTACTTCTGTGCACATCGAGCATGAAGCCGTGAAAGTGGACGCGTTTCTTCCTCTCCGTTTCCACATATTTATAAAACATGTCCATCAGCATTGTTTTCCCTGTACCTTAGAAATAAAAATTAAAAAAAAATGTTAAGTATACTATTAAACAGCATATGCTGATTACACTAATGATTGTTCGTTAGCTTTGAGATAATGAGAGCGCTCTTCCACAGGGAAGCTAGAGGCTGTTCCTGAGCTCAATTGGAGGCATTTGCTTTTCTGGCTGAGACGGCTTTAAAAGACTGGTGTCCCTTTTTGTCATAACTCTGTCTGTAGTCAACAGTAACAGGTATGCTCATAACCTGGCATGACTTATAGATTGCTCTTCCGTCTTACATGGCTGAACATGACACTGTGGTAAGCTTAGTAAGTCATGCTGCAAGAGCACGTAGGAAGACTGCAATGCAATAAAAATGTTTTAAACAATCACAAGATAGAATAAATAAAATAAAAATGCTAAAGATACAAAAAAAAAACTAATTATGAGAATAAACAGGAATATACAAAACAGTCTTCAGGGACTAAGAGCAGGACAAGCAGGGCAAGCAGGCCAGTGCAGCAGGGGAGAGCACAGCCAGCCTGACAGCCAGAACAGGTCCCTTACACTGGACAGTAAGAGCAAACTCCCATATCATGTTCTTTGACCTCTACACACACATCATGGCACATGCACAAACAAAAACAAGCAAGTTAACTAATAACGCAATAAATTAATTTTTAAATTAAAAACAACAACTAAAGGAACAAGAAGGGTTTAGTAACACAGGCCTGCACTCCTAGCCCTTCAGAGGTTGAGGTAGGAGGATCGGGAGTTCAAAACCAGCTTAGGCTATATAAAGAGTCCGAGGCCAGCCTGGGCTATATGAAACCGCATCTTAAACAAAAGCAACAAGGGAGCTGGAGAATACCTAAGAAAGACTCAGACTACAAAAGTAAGATGGTAGTCTTCAATCCCATCAAACAACTAGACCATATAATCCAATAAAAAGGCTGGGATAATTATAGAGGAATTCTAATTCAGAAACATGGCTGCTCTGGCAAGGGATCACATCTGAAGACATAGGTCTCTGTGATCTGGCTGGAATGCAGACAGGTAAAAAACCTTTAATCCCTCTGGCTGGAAGACAGACACACCCTTAGCTCACTACACACCTTTAATCCCAAACAATGAAGGTAATGTCAGTTTGAAGAAGGACCAATCCATGTTTTGAAAGTAATGTCTAATTTTGAGGCAGACAAATTGACAGAAAGATTTGACAGAGATAGGAACCGGGGGGAAAAAAAAAAGAAAATTTAGGAGAGCAGTGCAAAGAGAGAAATGGAGGGGTAATTTAACTGGGACATTTTTACAGGTTGAAGGGAGAACAAGTGAGGCACAGGTGAAGACAGAACCAACCAGAGAATGCTGGGAAGGAGCCAGAAGATTAAAACAGACTGCTAGAGTTAGTTCAAAGTCAAGCAGAACAATTCAGTCAAAAGCTGAGAGAAGCCAGACTGAATCAGTCATCTTGGAGAGGAGTTTGCACAAGAATGGCTGAGTTGAACCAGTCAGCCAGAGTTCAAAAAGATCTATAAGAGTGAGCTTGCTCAGTGGTAAATCTGAAAAGCTAAAAATATTCTAGGCCTAGATTAGATTATACAGATTATTCCCATACCCTCATAACTTTCTGTCTTTCTATCTTGTTTCAAACAGAATGAAAAGCCAAAGACAATATATGAACATTTGATGAGCACTGCCAAAGCAACACTTAGAGGTGATTTTATGACTGCAAGCACTTACATTAGAAAGCAACACTTTAAAATCAACAGGAACTTACTCTATTTTACAAAGTCAGAACAGGCAGCAAGTAAAAAGAGTAAATGTAGGAAGGGAAATAATAAAAATAAGAAATTGATAAAGCAAAAGCTCAATCACTGAAAGCATTTAAAAACAACAACAGCAACATAACGAGAGAAAGCACAAAGTGCTGGCTGTCAGCAGCAGCACAGTCTGTCACCCAGGTGAGTTAGGACATTTTTCCGCTAGATATTCAAATCTTTGATTTCAATGCCGTCTCCAGCCTGGGCTCCACGTGGGAACGTGAGGGCCCTTTGGGAGGCCCTACAGGCACTCAACTAGGAGGCATTGTGGCACACACATACAATTCCAGAATTCTTAGGCCAGTCTCAGCTACACACTGAGTTTGAGGCCAACTCAGATTAAATAAGACCCCATCTCAAAAACCAAAATAATCGGGGGCTAGAGAGATGGCTCAGAGGTTAAGAGCACTGACTATTCTTCCAGAGGTCCTCAGTTCAATTCTCAGCAACCACATGATGGCTCACAACCATCTATAATGGGATCTGATACCCTCTTCGGTCGTGCTTTTGTACATGCAGGGAACTCATACATTTAAAATAAATAAAATAAAATAAAATAAAATAAAATAAAATAAAATAAAATAAAATAAAATAAAATATTTCCCCTTTTCTACTGGGAAAATCCTAAAAAAGAAAAAATAAATACCAAAATAATTTTTAAGAGTTCTCTTCCATAGCTGTGTGGTAGTAGCACATCCCTTTGATCCCAGCACTTAGAAGGCAAAGGCAGGTGGATTTCTACTAGTTTAAGACCAGCCTGGTCTACAGAGTGAGTTCTAGGACAGCCAAGAAACCCTGTCTCAAGAAACCAAAAATAGACAGACGGATAGATTAAATAAATAAATAAATAGTTCTCTTCAACAGCTTTCTGTCTAGGTAGGCTGTTACTCTCTTAGGGGTGGGGTAAATGCAGGAGTTGTCACAGAGGCCCTCCATGTCCCTCTTTGTCAACTGTGAGTCTTCAGTCATCAACACCACGGCAGAAGTAGTTTCCTTGTCCTTTAGAGTCAGTGGTGAAGCACGGATCATGGACTTACTCATGGTTTCTGCAGTGGGGGTGGGAGGTGGGAGGACTCTTTTTTTTTTTTTTAAGAGGCTGGCTGGTCACCAGGAGTTTGACCATGCTCCAGTGAGTATAGGGGCAACACAAATTGGACTTGGGTCGCTCTCTCAATCGTTCTTCTTTTCTTCTTTTGGGGGGTGAGTCACAAGGGTGGAGGGATGGACCTGGGAGGACTGGGAAGGAAAGTGAGGGTGCTCAGGGTTCACAGCGTGAAACCCCCAAATAACCAATAAAAACATTATGAAAAGAAAAGTATTTGTTAAAATATAGACATCCAGTCAGGCATGGTGCTGCACACCTGTAAAAGCAGAACTCTGGGAGGCAGAGGCAGGTGGATCTTTGTAAGTTTGAGGCCAGCCTGGTCTACAAAGCAAGTCCAGGACAGCCAAGGCTACACAAAGAAACCCTGTCTTAAAACACAAAATAAAACAAATCCAGAAATTTAAAAAAAAAAAAAAAAAAAAAAAAAGCAAAATAAAGACTGAATTCCTGTCTTCTGCTGGCACAATTTTACCGTTGTGGCAGCAGTATAGTAGGCCCGCAAATCAACCTCAACACAGCTGTTCAGTTTCTAACCCAGGACAAGTGGCTGGGGTGCCTATTGAACACATCAAAGCTGACCTGGCCTCCCTCAGTTCCTGCCTGTTACAGGGTGTAGCTAGCATACCCCGCCCTGTGCCCGGAACTCTCCAGCCCAGGGGCTGGTTACCCTTCCCCCAGAGGCTCTTCCCTATAGAATCCAGACATTTTGGTTAGCCTTTCCCCTTTTGTACCTTTGACCTTCTGGATGCTCTACTTGACCTCCCCTCACACTCCTCCCCACACAGTTCAGGGTCAGGACCAGTCTGGACTCTCCCGGACGTGTCTGCCTCCAGCCATCTACAATATCCACATATCTACAATAAACTCTCTCCTCCAGAATATCGAGGCTGTCACGTCCTTTTCTTCCTTTTTATTTCTTTCATTCAATAACCATCATTTAGCAACTCCACTTTGGGGACTATATAAAATAACCTAAAGTGGGAATGCAAGCAAAGATCTATGCATTAGTGTTCATAGCAGCACTGTTTACTATATTGAAGACAGAATGACCCCAAACACACACTGATAAATAAATGACAACCTGCTGCGTGCACGTGATAGGATATTATTCAGACTTGAAGAGGAAGAAAATTCTTGTTATTAGATATTTTTTTTGCCCCTGCAAAAAATATTTTTAGTTTATTCATGATACATTCTTTAAATTACCTCACTTCAAACTGACAGCTTATAAAGTTTATTTTAAACTGTACTGGTGGTTTGAAAATGGGAAGATCATGAAAACAAAGGGGGGAAAAGCTGATGTGTGAGACAATATAGATGAATCTTGGAAGATATTTTGCTAGGTAAAGTAAGCCAGACATGAAAGGCCGGACAGATATTTGACAATTCCCTTTCTGTGAGGCCCCTGGAGTCGTCAGACTTACAGCACAAAGAACGGTGGTCTTCTGGGGCTTGAAGGCGGGAGAAAATTGGGGGGAGGCTGGAACTAGGGATAAACTTTGAGTGAGCAGTGGCAGGTCTGTCTACTCACCACATCCCCCAAAGCAGCACACTGCCTGGCAGTGGCTAGATGCTCAACAAACACCTGCCAAGTGGTGACGCAAGCAAGGCCAGAGAACCTCGGGGAAACTGGATGGAGCTCGACATCCAATTCTACCAAGCTCACAATGCTGCTTTATTCTCTAGGATCACAAATTAGGGGTGGTGTTTTCTCGGGAGAGGAGGATTGCCAGGGGATTAACTTTAAAAATCTAAGGCTTTGCGTTCTTACAGTCAAGCCCTGAATTAGGAAGTCACAAATAACTCCTGGAGAAACCCCCTAGCTAGCGGTTGTCTCTCAGCCGGCCCTTGCAGATCAAGCTGGAAGTGACGCCCTCCCCACCCTTCCAACTACCCCCATGTGCTCTAACCTCCAGCTCCTAGCATTCAGAGGGTAGACGCGGGCAGGATACTCCCGGAAGGACGGGAAATACTTCCGTTCTCTTCTAATAGTCCAGACAAATCATTAACCCTGCTGGCACCACTGCAGAGAGAACTAGAGTTCCTCCCCGCCCCCAACCAAAAAAAAAAAAAAAAAAAGCCGGAAAAAAAGGAAGGGTGGGTGGGAGGAAGGGTAGAGCTGCACCAGCGTTAAAGATTCTACAAGGCCACATGACTAAGATTAAGGAGAGTTACAATGTTACAAAGCAGAGCCAAATTATCTCAGCTATTTTTAGTCCTTTTGAAAGCCACCCATTGCGCACACCTGTGACTGACCTAGCAACCCTGTGACTATCAAAACTTTAAAACTTATTAGCTGACCACTGATCCCAAACCTAGGAATGTTACTGTATTATCTCAAACCTGCATCGGTTCTCTTGCTTGGCTGCAACCCAAATAGCTCTGGCCACACCAATCTGTTCCTTAACAACTTCCTTTGTTCCGGGACTACTAGAATCTCAGATAAGCACTTCCACAGTGGAGTTCCATGTTTGGGAAAACCTGAATCTGTGATTCCAGGCCCTGACTTCCTCATTTGGCTCCAGAATAAAAGGCTCCTTCCTCTCTTTGGGATGAGAGCTGGGTTTTGGCCTTGACAGCAGTCTTCTGGGCAAAGGCTTGTAACATTGTACCAGCTACATGCCAAGGGTGGAGCCATAAACCATTACGTGACACTTTCAGCTTCTGGATGTAAGGAGCTAAATACTATTTCTGAAAATAGTTTTCTTGAAGGTTGAGCTACAATGTTAATCCATCAATTTAAATACCATCCCTGTGGAGGGTTCTTGGATGCAGGGTCCACCCAAGCCCCTCATTTCTACCCATTTATGAATAAAGAGTATGGCGGGCACCACAGAGCACAAGGCTGTGAAGAAATGAGGGGTAGCAGGGGCCAGCTAGGAAGCAGGTACCCTCCTTTCCAGGAAGCCGACTTGGATTTGATACCTGTTTCTTAAGTCCAAAATGGGAGGGTGAAGAATAAGAGCTCATTCTGAGGCTATTTTTCTAGTCAGAGAGTCCCCAAAATGAGAACAAAACACTATTTATTACCCCTTTTCTGAGTATTCCAAACTGATTCTAGCCAACAAAAGTTATCTCACTTCCTTGTTCAAAATTTCTCTTCCCCTCTGTATTATAAAGGTATTTTACCCAACGCTTATGTGTCCCAGCCTACACTGAACATCCCAGATGATATTAATATGCTCGCTCTCTCTCTCTCCCTCCCTCTCTCCATCCCTCCCCTTCTTCACTCCCTCTTTTGTTTGAGACAAGGCCTACCAGCACAGCCCAAGCTTACACTCCTCCTGCTCCAGCCTCCTGAGAGCTGGGATTACAGGTATGCCCCTCATTCATGGCTGGTTTTGGGGTTTTTTTTTCAAGAATTCAGATGCATTGTTCACACTATATCTCCATTCAAGTAAGACTATGGGAGCTGCCCCCTCATGGGTCTCCTTTACTAACCACCTCCACTTACGGTGAAGTGGTTAAGGTGACAAGAACAAGGAACAGAGTTTTGCAATGACTAAACATGAAAGTGAACATACAGGAAGTATGATATTTGCCCAAAGAACAAGAGCTCTCAGAACACTGACAGGCTCCGGCTCCAAGTAAAAAGGAACACCACCCATCTCAACACTCACAAACCAGCCTAGGAGCTAAGAAAAGGCAAGTCTGCCCAATGTACAGAACTAGGAGAGGAAGGAACTATGACCACAGATGCCCTAACAGTATCTACTAACTAATTTAAAGGGAACTGCAGGGCAGGTGGTACTGAGGCAGGGGGAACCCTTGAGTGCAAAAAATTGAGACCAGCTCAGGGAGCAAGTAAGACCTGTTTCTGGGGTTGGGGGATGGATAATAATGATAACCAGGTCATTACTCTAAGGACTTAGATTATGAATAGGAATATGTGTGGAAATTAAAAAGTAAAAAAAGAAGAAGAAGAAGAAGAAGAAGAAGAAGAAGAAGAAGAAGAAGAAGAAGAAGAATGAGCTAGAGGAAGAAGAGGAAGAAGCTCAGGCAACACTGAACTGAGATCCTGGCTGACTAGTAACCTACAACTTCCTTGCGGCAGGTTGTCTCAGTTCACTTCATGCATAATGAAGCATCTCATCTGCACTCTCACATGGCACCTGATTGTGGCCTTCAATCACAGCCACAGCCTATGAGAAACAGTGGTGAAGCTGAGATCACTGTCTCTTCCTCCCACCTCCCACTCCTCACCCTGTTGTCCTGCAGGTTTGGCCTGAGAGGGGCGGACATGGAAGTTTTTATCCCTGAGGGAAAGCAGCAGGACCTCCTGACTGGCCCACCCAGCACTTACTTAACACTTACCGACATCTCCATAAACATACAGGCCCTTTGGAGGTTTGTTCCTTGAAAAAAGCTGCAAATTAAGAACAAATTACAAATTTTCTGTCATGAAAATAATTACATATAATCATATACATAATGTTCCCAACTGTGCTATATATAGGACATCAAGGGGGCAATTATATACAATAAGTAGAGAAAAAAAAACTTGGTATGAAATTCTGCAAAGCCAAAATATTACACAGCCTTTAAAAGGAAGGTATTTTTGATGGACCACAACAGGGATAAATCTTGAGAACATTGTATTAGTAAAATAAGCTAGTCACACAAAGGTAAAATACTTATGACCCTTATATGAAGTGTTCAGAGTAACCAAAATCATATAGACAAAGAGTAGAAAATATGGCTGCCAGGGGTGGAGGAGAGGGAAGGAGTTCCTGTTCAGGGGTGCAGAATCCCATTTGTGCCACATGCAGAGATGGGTGAGAGTAATCCACAGAATTGTGTCTGCATTTATGACCACCGAGCTGTGTAATTAGAAGTGGTTAAAATAGCTAACACTGTGGCAGACACCTGAATCCCAGCACTCAGGAGGCTGAGGCAGGACACGGGGTAGACTACATAACCAGACCTGTGATTTAAAAGGCAAAATCTGAAAGCTCACACTCAGAATCCAACCCATAATGCTGTTGTTTCTGTCTTATAAGCCATGGGCTCATTCTAACTCAACTAAACCCATCTCCCGATGTGGGCCAGGTGAGGCCTGGGGCCAGGCAAGTGGGTCTTCTCCACCTTCATCCCTGCATCTGCACAGCTTCCCCGGTTCCCCTACAAGGTGCTCTTCTTACGACTCAGCTGAAAACAGATTTCCACTCCTGCCAGCACCATAGTTTCTCTCTCTTTCTTTTTTGTGTGAAACACTGTGTTACTCTATTTTCAACTTTCAAAAAAAAAAAAGCATTACACCCTTAAACAATTTTAGAACAATTTCAAGTCTGAAACCTAACATAAAAGCTAATAATGTCTACATATATTCTGCATGTCAGAGTTTTGCTTTGGTTTGTTTCTTTTTGAAACTGGGTTTCTCTATGAATCCCTGGTTGTCCTGGAACTCACTGTGCAGACCAGGCTGGTCTCGAACTCACAGAGATCCGCCAGCATCTGCCTCCTGAGTGCTGGGCATGTGTCATCACCACCCAGCTAGAGATCTTTTGGAAGCAATTCTGTGTTAGATAACTGGGGGAGTTGTGGTAAATCATTCTGTAAGAATAATTTTGTCAGCGTTGCTGCTGTTGTTTTGGGTTTTTTTGAAGACAGTAGAGCCCTATATCTGCAGAGCCCTGGCTGGCCTGGAACTCGCTCCGTTGACCAGGCTGACCTCAAACTCAAAGATGCCCGGTTCTGGGACTAAAGGTTTGAGCCACCCGTCTGGAATAGTTGTCCCCCTCTGGTATTGCTCACATGGTACAACCACACTCACTAAGGAAACACAATTCAAGTTAGAAAAAGACAGCAATGGTCGGAGGAGGGCGGTGTTAGGGCGGGGCGTTTCTGAGCAGTGTGGTCGGAGGAGGGGTGAGCAGCAGGGACAGACAACAGGGGCGGATGGAGGGCTGTGTTAGGGGGCAGCATTTCTAAGAAGTGTAGCCCAGAGGGGCGAGCAGCAGGGACAGAACGCTTCCTAGCAAGTACTTACACTTCCACACTCGGTACTTAAACAGCCAAGAAGAAGCACTTCTGGGCCTGTCTCCTTTTTGTCCTTCCTATTCAGTAATCCAATATATTTTAGAAAGAGCCCCTAATCAGATTTTTGTATCTACAGGTACAGTTTATGTTACATTGCTTTACATATTTTTAAAATATACTTTATTAAATCTTTGAAAATTCAATACAATATATTTTGATCATATTCGCTTTCAATTTTTCTCCTTAAATTAAATTGGATTTGGGCTTGGTTTGGTGAACTTTTAGGGAGAAGTGATGTTTTGGTTTTTGAGACAGGGTCTCAGTATGTGGCTCTGGCTGGCCAGGAACTCTCGGTATAGACCAGGCTGGCTTTAAAAATCACAAAAATCTGCCTGCCTCTGCCTGTGTGTTCTGGGGCAGAGGGCTTGCACCAGCAGGCCAGGTCCTGCACTGGACCTGATATTTTTTTTTTAATGGTAAAGAGATACTTCTAGGTATCCATAGCAATCCCAGCACTTGGAGGCTCAAGCAAGAGGATCGTGAGTTCAAGGCTAGCCTAGGCTACACAGTAAAACCTTGTCTCAAAAAAAAAAAAAATTTTTTTTTTTTTTAATCCTCAGCACCACCAAAAAAGTTGATAAAATAGGTAACTTTTGACTACTTAATTTAAATCCTGGATACCAGGGCAGAGATGGTGACACAAGGCTTTTATCCCAGAACTTGGAAGGCAGGGGGATGTGGATCTCTGTGAGTTCAAGGCCAGTCTGATCTACCAAGTGAATTATGGCACAGCCAGGGCTATTATACAGAGAAACCTTGTCTTTAAAAAACAAAATTAATTAATTAACATAAAATAAAAATAAAAGCTGGATACCTTCTACCAATACAGGTTCAGAACAGTCTATCTAAGTGACATTTACCCTTTATTACAGTTATCTATTTATATGTGTGCACTGGAGGGGTGTGTTCATTTCACAGGGTATATGTTGAGGTCAGAGGACAACTGCTCAGAGTCAGTTCTCCCATCCACACGTGACTCTTGGAGAGCAAACTCAGGTCATCAAGCTTGGCAGCAAGCAAGCTGCCACTGAGCTCTCATGGGCCCGTAGATGGTGTCACCCTCAACAGTCCTCCCTTATTCTCAGGACACAAGGTCCTTCAGGGCCACTATACTTTGACTATTCCAACCCCCATCCATACCATACTTTCCTCTACACACACTTGTCATATTACACCTATGATAAGATATTAACAACAACAGCTAATAATGAAAAGGATTATATAAAAACATACTGCCTCTGGGCAGTGGTAGCATGCCTTTAATCCCAGCACTTGGGAGGAAGAGGCAGGCAGTTCTTTGTAAGTTGGAGGCCAGCCTGGTCTACAGAGCAAGTTCTAGGACAGTCAAGGCTACACAGAGAAACCTTGTCCCCAAAACCAAAAACCAAGAAGAAAGAAAGAAAAAGAAAGAAAGGAAGGAAGGAAGGAAGGAAGGAAGGAAGGAAGGAAGAAAGAAAGAAAGAAAGAAAGAAAGAAAGAAAGAAAGAAAGAAAGAAAGAAAGATTGCATGGGGATGGGAATCGATGAAGAGATGCTCAGAGGTTAAGAGCATCTTGCAGAAGACTGGGTTTGGTCTCCAGTACCCACCAGGCATCACAACCACCTATTTATTCTATTTCTAGGGGATCCAACACCCTCTTCTGGCCTCCTCACATATCAGGTACTATGTGATATAAACAGGTACATACATGCAGACAAAATACTCACGCACAGAAAATTAAAATAATTAACTCCAAAAAAAATCTAGACAATACAGTTAATAAGCTCTAGCAATTTAGATTTATATCTATCCTGGGGATATGGCTCAGCAACAGAGCAACAGGCTAGCACCTAGCCTGGGGTTCAATTCCTGGCACCACGAAGGAACCTATACCAGCATAGCAGTGCTTTTCAGACCTCATTAGTCAACTCTCTCTTCAATGGCTCTTTGTAGCCTTCTCAGCCGTCTTGAAACTAACCTACACTTCCCCCTTCACTTCAGATAATGGCTTCCCCCTTGCTCTTAGAGAGAAAGCAGAAGGTGTTATCTGGCACTGGAAACTCCCTGCCACACAAACACACACACACACACACACACACCCCCCCCCCCCTCCCCTCTGCACCCCTTCCTCCCTCCCCTGTAGCTTCCCATGTGACACTACAGTCCTGCCCCCTGCAATAATCCTTTCCTCTCCCCTGTGACAAAAGATGGCCCTGCCTATTAAAACTTCCCTGGCTGTGCCATGGCACATCAACTTGTACTTCTCATGTAAGCCTTCTGCTCATTGACACCTTTATACAAACCTTCCTGCTCATTTGTTTTCATGCCATCAAAGTGCAATAAGACAAAACAAAAACAGAAGCCATAAGGGAAAAAAAAAAAAAAAAAAGACAAATCCTGTAAAATGTTTTTAAAATTATTGGCCTTAATTCCTGGGCAAAGGGAGTCTTCTTGAGAAAGTCCCTCCCGACGCTGTACCTTTGGAGCCCTGCCTGTTTTCTTCTAGCAATTTTAATGTTTCATGTTTGACGTTGAGGGTTTGTTTTTTTTTTTTTTAATCCACCTGAGGTTAATTAATACAGCTTCTAATTACATTTCTTTTGCCATATGAACATCAAGTTTTCCCAATGCCATTTTTAAAATGCTTTCTTTTGTATGCTCTTGGCCTCTTTTTCAGGTATTAGATGGCTGTGTTTGGTGCTTCTATTTTTGTCCATTAGTCCACATGTCTGCTTTTGTGCCAGTACCACATTGTTTTATGACTGCAACTTTCTAACATATCCTGACATCTGGAATGGACGTCCCTTCCGCACTGTGCCTTCTGCTCAGGGTTGCTTTGGCTGCCCAGGGTCTTTCCTGGTTCCATATGAATTTTAGGATGTAGAGAATACTGTGGGTATGTCACTGGATCTGAAGTTGCTTTTGGGAGTGTGGTTGCTTTCACAATATTAATTCTACAAATCTGTGTGTTTTCTCAGTCTCTTTCTTCACAGATTTGAGACAGTCTCACTGTACTCTGGGCTTTCCTGGAATTCACTCCTGTGAAGCAGGCTGGCCTCCAGTTCACAGAGCTCCTCCTCCCTCTGTTCCTGGGTGCTAGGATTAGAGGGTGGCGTCTATCTCTAAAGCTTTTTTTTTTTTTTCTTCAATCAATCAAGCTATGAACAGTAAATCTCGTCTATAGTCCTAGCACTTGAGGAAAGTAGAAGGATCAGAAATTCCAGGTCATCCTTAGCTACAACGTGAGTTCAAGACTATCCTAAACTACTTGAAACCCTGTCTCAAAAAAAACCGAAAAAACTAACAACAAAAATCCAACCTGTATATTGATGTTGTAGATATTTGCT